TATCCCCATAATATAACATGTCATTGTCACATATATGTGTATTTACATGATATGGCAGTCTTTTGTGATAAAGTTATCAATAATAATAGGATACCAGAAAAAATCTTTGTCTTCATCTTTGGATCAAACCATGAATGGGAGCTGATTAATGAAAATACGTTCGGTGGGGAATAGGTAACCGGAAGACTAATATTACTTGGGACCATAATTAAGAAGCCATGCAACTTTCTAATAGATGAAACTAGTCCTTCAACATCACCTGGAGTTCGAAAATCATCAACTTTGTCCAAGATATGCAAACAGCTTATTCCATATCCATTGTAATCAACTAAGACATTATCAACATCTCGAGGTGTTTGCGTTGAGTCACTGTAAGCTGACATGTTATCACGAACTGAAAGACATGGTAGGGGTTGGAAAAGAAGGGTTTATATGATAGGTTAGAGGAATATTCCATAGATGATATGAAGGTGTATGATAAGGGTACTTCATAGGGGAATTTAAGAACGTGATTGAAAACACCAATTAACAAGAAGCAATTCTTATCAAAGCTATAAACTAGGGTTTCTACTAGAAAAGGGGAAGAATACTAAAAATGACTAAATAAAATAAAGGAAGATAAAAGACTTTTCATTTGATTTCATGATACCTAATGTCTCAATGAGACTACAATATATAGTACTTCTAATGATAATAACTTATAGGCCCAAACACTAGTAAAATCCAAATTCAACAAAACATTCAAAACACAATAACAACTAACATTATATTACTAATTAAAATATCTAATTGCACCTCCTATCATATCACGTTAATAATGTAATACATCCACGTATATTAAGAAAAATAGCAAGAGTCGTGGTTCACTCAGTTATGTATTTGCTACAAGTTTATGGCATTGAGTATGAGTTTCTACTAATGATTCTCTTGTTCGAACTTATATATTGACGCATTTAATTTAGGGTCCATTTGTTTTGGCTTTTTTAAAAATAAATTTTATAATGTCGCATAATTTTGTGTAAAAAAAATTACAAGGAAACTTTTCATAAAAGTTTCAAATAAAAATTCGGTTTAATAGTTATTCTTAAAATGTTATTTTAGGTATGGTAGCAGGCCCACACAGATTAAAGCTAGGCCTAAGTGGATAAATGATTTTATAATCGATCAATCTTCTTTTCTTTTATCTTTTTATTATTAGGTCTTTTATAAGGAAATTTCTTATTTCATCTCATGTTTTTCTAGCGCACCACGCGAAATTCTAAAAAAAATCAGAAATATATTTCTAGTTCGCACCCCCCACACACATATAATTCATTCGTTTTTTAAGTTCGCATATTTTATAGTGAAGTTCATTCTGAAAATCGACTTCTGATACAAATCGAAAACGTATTTCCGGTGTCTAATTGAAACAACTACATTTCCGACTTAAAACAAAATATTGTTAAGACTAGAATTTATCACTACAAAAACCTAACTTTGTATGATGAGAAAAAATCAAATATAGGCTAAAAGTTGAAGAAAAATTAAGAAGAAATTGAAGAACAAACAATTAAAAAATATACAAAAAATAGGAGTTTCTTTTACGCAGGAGGAGTTGTTCTTCGTTTATAGAAAAAGGCAAGAGTATTGTTCTTCATTTATAAGAAAAAGAAAACAAATGAATTGGAGTATTGGAGTATTGTTCTTCTTTAAAGTAATAAGAGTTAATTATATAATATAATTTACAATAAATAAAATTTAAGTTTTTAATAAAGTTAGTGGAATATTGCAGAGTACTATCTGATCACTATTTATCTTTTAATATTAGGAATCAGAACTACATTTCTAGTTTTTATTGGAAGTGCATTTTCGATTTTACATAAGTGCAATTTAAAAAATGTGTGTACCGGAAATATACTTCTAATTTTTGAAGGGTATTTTAGAAATTGCATAGGGTTTTTATTTTGAGCAAGGGTGGAATAAGAAATTCCTTTTTACAATTGTCTTATTGGGTCTGACCCATTAGCCCATCATCTATGTTTTCAGTTTGTATTTAAACTCTTGGCCACTTTGGAGAAAGGCAAGAAATTATTCATAACTTTTTATCATTCTCGTATGTTTTCAGTTTTGTGTTTGTTTTAAGGTAGCACCCTAAATCTAAGAAAATAGTTGATAAATCATTTCTATCGATTGGTGTTTTCATCTTGAATTCATGTCCCCTCCAAAACCCTCCAACCCTAGCCAACTTGTGGAAGAAGCTGTCCACACTGCTCAAATCCACCTTGACAATGCTATAAACCAAACCCAGCAGCAAATGGATAAGAGATTTGATAAAACCCATTTAGATCTGAAATAGATTCACCCCTGCAAGGATAATGAGAACCAGATTTCAAATTCTCGGTATGACAATATCATGAGTTTGCTTACAAAACTAGTTGCACATAAGGAAAAACAACCAGCTGCTATTGTTCATGCAGCCACCTCATCAGGTATTACTCAAACATCTTCTTCTTTACCTTTCCAACCAACCTATACTGCTTTTAACGCTACCCACACTCCCCACGGGTCACTCATTTTCACCCATGTTTCCACCATCCTGATTCCAACCGCTACCATTTCCCACAGTTTACCACCTCCCCTTTCTACCGCCTCCATCTGAACAGTAGCAACCACCTCCGCTAGACTTTTTCCGACACAACCAACCCTTTTTAGACCAACAATACTACACTCACCTGCTGGTTTTGCCTCCATCCAAATCCATTTTCCCCAATATTCACAACTTCCTTTTCCCCAAAATCACACACCTCCTCCGCTTTCCCCTATTCACACACCCAAATTAGAACTTGCCACGGATCCAATCCATTAGAGTGGTTATTTCAAGCTGAACAATTTTTTATTTTTTATCATCTACCTCCTGAAAACAGATTAGCCATGATGTCCTTTTATATGAAAGGTGAGGCATCATGTTGGTTTAAATGGATGCACCAAAACCAAGAACTATTTGATTAGCCCTCTTTTACCAAAGCCTTGGAATTACATTTTGAACCATCCACCTACACTAATCATCAGGCAGAATTGTTCAAGCTAAGACAAACCAGTTATGTTATGGAATACCAAGCCAGGTTTGAACAATTGAAAAGCCAAGTTGTTCTATTGCATGATGTTATACTGAACTGTTTTATCTCAGGTTTGACACCAGAAATTCAAAATGAAATAGCTATCCACAAAACTTCTTCCATATCCCAAGCTATTGGCCTAGCTAAACTTATTGAATCAAAATTAAAAGAAGTTAAAACTAAGTTTTCAAAAAAAAATTCAGCCTCTGCCACCCGCCCGAGCCTTGCTATACAAAATATCACACCACCTACCAATCCCCCAAAAAAACCGTTAACACCTTCGCAACCACCCAAACTACCTATGTGACGTCTCTCCAATGTGCAATTACATGAGCGTCACGCTTAGGGATTGTGTTTTAACTATGATGAAAAATTCATTCCTGATCATAGATGTTCAATTGGCAAATTCCTCTTGTTATTGGTTGATGACGAGGAATCCAACACATGGCAAATTCCTCTTGTTATTGGTTGATGACGAGGAATCCAACACACTTGATCCATTGGAGAGTTTAGACGACATTACTATACCTTCTAAAGCAGATGACACTTACTTCCAACAATCCCCTCAAGCTGTTAGTGGTCATTATTCTCCTTAAACTATCAAATTTTAAGGCCACAAATATCCCAACAACTTAAAATTCCCACTAAACCAATTCCCATTGAGAGTCGATGTTGTTCTTGGAATGAAATGGTTACACACCCTCGGCCCTCTAATGGCCAATTTTTCAATTCCAAAAATGTCCTTTACCTACGAGAACAATGATATCACTATAACAGGGGACCCTATATCCCTTCCATCACCCTCCTCATACAACCAATTATATCATCTTCTCCACACTAACTGTATCACTTCCCTTCATCTGTTAATTTACCAACCCACTTCTAAACTTGAGAACAGCTTGACAACACCCTTAAACAATGTTATGGAATCACTTTCCTCAGACCTTCCCCATCAGATTTCCTCATGACCATCACATCCTCGTTATCCCAAACACTGCCCCAATCAATGTAAAACCTTATCGCTACCTTCATTCCCAAAAAGGATGCCTTGATTAGCATAATCCAAGACATGTTGCATGAGGGTATCATAAATCCCATTAACAACCCATACTCTTCGTGATATTGGTTAGAAAATAAGATGGGACATGGAATTTTTGTGTAGATGATAGAGCACTCAATGTTGTTACCATTCGTTACTCCACCCCAACCATTGATGAAATTTTTTATGGATGGGATTCAGCTACTATTTTCTCTAAGACTGATTTACGATATGGTTATCACCAAATCAAGGAACACCAGAGGACACCCACAAAACTACATTCAAAACATTTGACGGACACTATGAGTTCTTGGTCATGCCTTTTCGAATAGAAGAGTGCTCTTAGTTCTTTTTAATCGGAGATGAATGTTACGATTTGTTTTAGTTTTCTTTGATGATATTCTTATTTAGCTCATGTTTCTCATGACGCTCATCACTTACAACTGATTTTAAAGTTAATTTTGTCCCATTAATTTTATGCCAACTATCAAAATGTGTCTTCTTTGTTCCTAGTGTTGATTATTTAAGTCGTGTAACCCCAGATCCCACGACACTCAAGGTTTTTTTTAGGCCTCACAGGCATTTATCGTATATTAGTCCGTCATAATGCCTCTCTCACTCATCCTGTCACCAATTTACTACGTTCCACTAAATTACATTGGTGTACAACAGCAGCAGAAATAACTTTAACACAATGAAACGAAAAATGACGGAAACTCATGTCTTGTGTTTTCCGATTTCTCCCAGATCTTCTTGTTGGAGACCGATGCTTCAGTCGTTGCTATTGGAACCATTTTGTCTCAACAAGGACATCACATTGCTTTCTTTAGCAAGAAGATATGCAACTATCTTCAAGCTTCTTCTGTCTATATTCGAGAAATGTATGCCATTACAAAAGCTGTCAAGAAATGGAGACAATACTTAGTTGGCAGATATTTTCACATTTATACAAATCAGGAGAGTTAAAAAATCTCTTAGTACAAACTATCCAAACCCCAGAACAGCAAAAATGGGCTGCTAAATTACAAGGTTTTCAGTTTGACATTTACTACAAACCAGGTAAAAGCAACCAAGTGGCAGAAGCTGTGAGTCGAATCCAGAATGAAGACGAGTTGATTCTTCTTTCCATCTCTTCACATGTTCCTATTCTTGTGCAATAATTAACAAAATACTACGTCAGATGTCGAAGGGAAACAACTAATGGAAAAAGTTCATATCGATCCATCACTCCAGAATACTTTTACACTACAAGGGTAGAATATTTATACCTGTCACAAATCGACAAAAATTCATCAATGAATACCATTGTACACCAGAGGGAGGCCACTCGGGACTGCAACCAACTCTTACTTGCTTGTCATCTTCTTTCCTTTGGCCTAGTGTATACAAAGATATCAAAGAGTTCATCAAAACTTGCACAATCTGCCAAGATAACAAGTATTTGCCAAAAAAAAAAGCAGGGATTATTATAACCATTACCTACACCAACACAGGTATGAGAGGATTTAAGTATGGATTTCGTAACTTACTTACCAAACTCCTTCGACCACACGGTTATTTAGGTAGTATGTGATCACCTTTCAAAGTTCTCCCACTTCATTGCACAAATTTTCTGCAAAGGATTTGGCACTCCGTTTTTCTATCGCGATTTGTCGACTTCATGGTGTCCCAAAATATATTGTTTCAGACCGCGATCCACTCTTTCTTAGCAGCTTCTGGAAGGAACTTTTTTGTTCTCAGGGAACCACTTTGAAATATAGCTTCGCCTACCACCCTGAAACCGACGGTCAAACAGAAGTAGTGAATCGTTGTTCAAAAACTTAAGGTGTTTTACAAGTCACAATCCAAAAAACAGTTTAACTACTTACATTTGGATGAACTATGGCACAACACCAATCATCACTCTGCCATCAACATGTCCCCGTTTGAAGCACTTTACGGCCGCCCACCTCCCTTCTTTCTACCATACACAGCCGGTGCTATATCCATCCCTACCTTGGACGTTTCCCTGGGAGGAATTATTACAAACTCTTAAACATAACCTAGCCAGAAGCAGACACAAGATGGAAGTTCAAAGTAACCAAAAGCGCATTGAGTGTTCTTTTAACGAAGGGGGTCTTGTGTGGCTCAAGCTTCAGCTGTACTGTCAAATCTATGTCCATCGCCATGCATCACAGAAACTTTCCAAATGCTACTTGAGGCCCTTCAAAATACAATCTCGCATAGGCCGTGTCGCTTACCGTCTCGAACTTCCAGCATCCTCAAAGATCCATCTGGTCATCCATGTCTCACAACTTCGTGTTTTTCACGGTAGAGACTCTTCTCTACAGTTCACACTGATCCCACCGGAGTTTGAACCAGCTGATGACGATGACCACCAACTGGGCGAGGAATCAGAACCTTCACAACAAGCATACCATCAACTCCAGACAACAATACAAATAAGGATGCTCCTCTGTGTTTACCAAAGAGCAAGAAGACTGAAGGCACTACCATACATGCAGAGGAAGACGAAGCGTTGAACTCAAGCAGCGAAAACGGAACTCAACATCAAGAAAGACGAGATAAAGAAAATGTTAAGTTTCAAAATGAGAAGAGAGAAACTCCTTGTGAAGTCTTAAGGGTAACATCTGACTCTACTCTTTGTACTTCCCAAAACCTTTGGTTAAAGCTGGTCCCTTGATTACCCCACCTAATAATATCATTGTTTCTCAACCCTTGGATATTGGTGTAAGTTCCCGTGCAACTGTTGTTTCCGATAGCAAGATTCCAACGCCCCCTGCTCTGGTGTCAGGAAAAGACAAGTCTTTAAAGCCAATTGCCCCACATGTATCTCCCTCCCACGTGACTCACTGAACCGTTGCACACTCCATCCACACCAAGTTTCATGGGCCCACGGATTTGGCCTCTCCTTTGGATCCAAAAGACCTTTTCAAGTCCCACCTTGAGAAAAAGGATGTTGTTGGGGGAAGAAAGTAGTGGTATCATGAAGGATTTTATAATCAATTAATTTTTTTTTTAATCTTTTTATTATGTCTTTTATAATTGTGTTATTGGGCCTGACCCATTAATTCATTATCTATGTTTTCAGTTTGTATTTAAACTCTTGGCCACTTTGAAGAAAGGCAAAAAATTATTTATAACTTTTTATCATTCTCGTATGTTTTTAGTTTTGTGTTTGTTTTAAGGTAGAACCTTAAATCTAAGAAAATAGTTGATGAATCCTTTCTATCAAGGTATTTCATTTTTTTGCTTAAATAGTGTTCTCGTTCCGGTAAGTTAGCGAGATTTGAATTTAGTCTCTGAATTTTTTTGTTGGTTCAGGTCCCCATTTATCCATTTCATGTTGGTTTTTGTCCATGTTGTCAATGGTCCGTTAAAAAAAGTTAAGTTGGCAAACGGTGATGATTTGACATTTAATTTATTATTCTTTTATTCTTTTCATAAACACACGTGGATATTATGTTTTACAGTTAATAAAAGAGAGACCAAAACCAAAAAAAAAATTCATTTTTCAAATCTTCCGTCTCTCTTCGCCATTGCACTTTCTTCTTCCTCTTTGCACCTTCAACATCCAAATGGTCATGGCTTCGTCGTCGTCTACAAACTCACATAACGTTCAAGTATTGGTATATGGTTGCAATAGAGTTATGAAAATATTTATGTCAAAATTAATTGAAACCCCTAAAAGGAGATTTTGGAAGTGTCAAAATCCAGGGTTAATGTCTGGTTGCACGTTATTCATTTGGGCTGATGACATTGAACGAAATCCACCTAGTGATCCCAAAAGTTCAATAGGATGAAATTGCTTAGATATGTTGAAGTATTTAGGGTCCATTGTTACGGAGATTGAGGTTGGAAAAAAAGGCAAAGATGAAGATGAAGTTGGAGAAGGAAAAGAGAAAAGAAAATTTGTTGAATTTATAGTTGATTGTGTCACGGGATTTCTTCTTTGCTTACCATAAATGGTGCTGAATCTGATTTGTTTGTGTTTGTTTATTGTATTTTGATTTTAGTCCTTGTAACATTAATGTTTTTTGAAATTCGTCCTTGTGCCATTTGATGCATGAAAATGATGTTTTGATATTGGACTAAATATGTTTGCACTTTTATTGTTCCTCCTGCTTTGCATTTTAAGTGACACAAATAATATTAGAGGTAAAAAGGCAAATTGTTACTATGCAATTTCAATTGGGCTTAAGACAAGCTTGATAATGTATCCAAAATACATGATGTATCTAAAACATAAAGGTTTAAACACTAAGGCTAAAGCCAAAGCAGTAATGTAATCAAAATACCTAATACAAAATAAAAAGGCTTAAGCCAAAATACATGATGTGGTCATCTTGTTCAACATAACATAAAAACATAATCCAAAACATTAATGTCTACAACTTCCATGGTTGTGTGGAGTTACTTCCTTCTCCCTTGAGCTTTTTTGCATTTGAGTACCATTGCTTTATCACTTCTCCTCAACTCCAACTTTCTTGCTACCTTTTGTTTGGGTTGCTTTATCTACAAAGACACAATCAAAATAGAAGCATTAGATCAATAACATTAAAGCTAATAACAAACACCTTAACTTAATAAGTATACCAAACTCAAATGGTTTAGAATTTCTATGAGGCGCAGAGACAGGTTCCTTAGGTGGAGGTGCATGAACAACTTCCTGAGGTGTAGGATCAATCTCTTGAATAGGTGCAGACAAAATGTAGTTGATTTGTGAGTCACCAACCCTTGTGTTTTGTGAAGCCATTATATGTTCAACCTCCACAGTGGGGACATGATTACTAGCATCTTTAATTGTTCTATTTTATGAAGTAAGATCATTGACATTGGGTTGAGGTTGTGTTGCCTCAAATGATGCACAAAGATTTGTTGTAAGAATTTCAAATTCTTGGTCCATATCACATTTACTTTCTGGTTGTTGTTCAGTTGAAGCTTCAATTCAAGGTTGTTGTTGTTCAGTTGAAGCTTCTAGTTGAGTTTGTTGTTGTTCAGTATAAGCTTCAGGATGAGTTTGTTGGACTGCTACAACTCCAGTTTGAGTTATTTGTGTTGCATTTTTCTTTGTTTTTTCCTGCACACAAAATAATGCAATTAATATCACACATAAATTATTAGTAACAAAAACATATTTGAGTTAAGTTAATACCTTTCTTTTTTGAGCTTCAGGGTCAGGCACCAGAACTAAACAACTCCTTGCATTATGGATATGTACACCATAATTGGTAGAAAAATAAGATGTTTGTGTCCTTCCCTTGTTAGGATCCTCATCAGGTTCCCTCCTCCTCAATTTCTTTGGCCTTTTAGGGCTTCTTTTGTATGATGGAGGCAGCATCCCTTCAGTTTCAACATTAGGCCACATATCTTGGCCATTAATTTTATTTGTCTAATATGAAAACTCATCTTTTATCTTGTCCAATATCTTCCAAAATCAAATTCAGGAACCACTTCCACAATTCCTTTGTTTCGGTATCACATACACCAAAAGCCAAGGGGTAATATTGGTCATTTGGGTCCCTTCCAACATCAATAAGCAAGGTGCCTTCATATTTTGTCTTAAGGTGACATCCATCAACGCCAATGAAAGGCCTACAAACTATGGTGAATCTTTTCTTAACTCTATCAAAGCATAAATAAAAGCACCCAAATCTTGGTTGCATTGTGGAATACCTCTACAATAGCGTATATTGTTTTGTTGTATCACCTTCAACCAAAGCTTTTTCAATTTGATTAGCCTTCCACGCCCGGATCATAGTTATACCTCCAAATTAAGTACTCTTAATCTCATAAATAATATCGTGAAGCTTGATTCCATCAGATGATGTCATCCTAGCCGCCACAATCTTAGCAATTCACTTGGAGTTAGCAGTAGTGTTATTCAAAATCCTACCACATGTATGAGCATTAAACCATCTCTTCGTTCTATGTGTGCTCATTCCTAACTTTACTAACAAGAGCCAAAAACCCACATTTTCCCTTGCAAACTACCTTCACTCTAACCTTGTCATTTTTCACATACTTTATATTTCTTCCATTTAATACTGACCATTCATTAATTGCCTCCTTAAATTCATCTAGAGATACAAACTCCAAACCCACTTTAAACTTGCAGTTCTTATCCAACTTTTCCATCTTAAACCTATGATACTTTGGTCCTTTCTCTTCATTTGATGCATCAGGATCATTACTCCCAAGATCATCACTTACATAATTAGTTTCCATATCTCGATTACCAACACTAACACCACTAGATGATCCTCCACTATCATCAACATTTCTAATCTTTGTTGGAGTAGTCATGTGTTTCCTGGATATGTGCTTAACCCTTTTGCCACCAAATGGTTTGTCTATTAGATCAAATCCATCATCCAATACAACAAACCTTTCATCTTCACTGTCCTCAAATGATAAACCATTGCCTTCAAAATCACTATTATCATTGGCTTCAGTATCATCACTACCATATCCATCTTCTTCAACATCATTAAGGTTATCATCTACATTAATATTTGCAACATCATCATCAACGTTTACACTAGCATCAACATCATCAATATTAGCAACATCACCATCAACATTCACATTAGTAGCATCATTATCAACATTAACATTACCAACATTATAAATAACATTAACACCATCAATATTAGCTTCAACATTATCAGCATTATCAACATTATCAACACTATCAATATTAGCTTCAACATTATCATAATTATCATCATTATCAACATTATCATCTACAACTAATCTATACTCAACAAATAAGTCCATACTAAAACTCATTTCAACATTTATTTCATAAACCTCAGTATCATCACTATCACTAACCATTCTTTTATGCTTACCCGAAATAATGTTATACCACCATAACCAATAATCCGAGCAATATTACAAAGTTCTTTCATAATACTGGTTGCTTCAAAGAAACTCCACCTATCAGGGTCAATGTCTATTACATGTTCATCCTCATCTAGGTAGTATACGACATTGTCCCAAACAAATTTTCTCCTATAATGAATATTAACAATAAATGTCATACTTGGGTGTTTTGATTACCTTGCTCAATCGCAAAGTTAGCTTCATCAACAACGGTCACCTCACTCAGACCAGTCTTTATCTCAAGCGCCATCACCTTCCTTGAGCTCAGACCACTAGTGTTTTCTTTTTCTGTAACCCTAATTTACAGGGGCTAAAGTAAAAAATGGAAAATGAATGTTGATGATCTATTTTGGGGGAAAACAATCATATCCATGTGTGTTAATGAAAAGAATAAAAATGCTAAATCAAATGCCAAGTCATCACCGTCTTCCACCTCAGCGTTTTTTAAATGGACCATTGACAATAGGGACTAACGCTAACAAGAAATGAACATATGGGGCCCTGCACCAAAAAAAAGGTTTAGGGACTAAATTCAAAATCTCGCTAATGGTTCTCTTATTCGAACTTATATTTTAAGGCATTTAATTTAGGGCCCATTTGTTTTGACTTTTTTTAAATGATTTTATAATGTCAC